TGGACGCCCTTCCAACCCGTGCTGGGGGGCAGGATGGGCCACGTTGAATGGCACAACCGATTTACTTTATTTCCCGCTGGGTCATTGCTGGTACGGGCTCAACAAAATGAGAAGTATAGGCTGCATGCTCAACTAACGGTAAATGATCGTTTTGCTGAATTTTAAATGAAAAATGGGCTTATAAAAGGTAGCAAAGATGCATTTTAGTGTTCTTTCATGGGTGTCTCTGGAAATGCTGGGTGAGGATGGGCATAGGGCCCATTGCCACTCTTACTGAGAAGCGGACATAATGTTCAAAACCAAGAGGCCAGTTGACCCTCCATTTACTCTGCTTTTATCTTAAAGCAGCTTTAGTAATACATGGAGCTATAAAGACTAGAACAAAAGTAACCTCTGTACAAATGAGTCAAGTGCAACATTTTCAAGTAGGAAGTGCAACGTAGTTAGCAAATTTTTATTATCTTTCTCCATTACTGTACCAGCAGCAGTTATTGTGCAAGAATTGATGTTGCTCTGGTTAGCAAAAATTTTTGACCATCTTGCAGCAATCAGCGTCTAGGACAAATATTGCCATGAAATTCAGAGCCCTCCACAACTCATCTGCTTATCTTTTGTACAGTGACGCCAAAATGCGTCCAAAATCTGCGAAATGTAGCAGAGGATGTGGAACAGAATCATTGCACAATTTTTCTTCTCGCCAGATGCAAAGAGATGCTCTGTCTACTAACAAACACTGCCTGCAGTTCCCTGTGCAGGACTGAACTTCTAGTCAACATGTAAGCGAAGTAAATCCTCGTGCTGATGTCACCAAAATAGATTGTGTACAGAAATGCAATTTATACAGCTTTGCAAAGGAGGCTGAACATGTCACACTGGAGTGCATTATACACTACCTTGCCTTCTAGTTGCTTTTCAGCACAAATATAAAGCTCTCAGTGATCTATGTCTTGCTCACAACCTATGAGGCTAACCAGGAAAGCACACCAACCTCCTACCTGCAAGACATCTTTGGTTCTGGCCACAGAGCACGTCCAGTAATAGGTCTTCTTCTGCGGACATCCCTCCCTTTGCAAAATCACCGAGCTCTGGATTTGTTTGCTCTCAGGACTGACCAAATGGCCTGTTTCTCAGGCTTTATGTTTAAAATAAGCCACATGTACTTCACCAAATGACTGATTTAGTTAAATGGGTGAGGCCAGGTTTATTCTAGTCTTAGAGAACAGTGACTGCTCCTAAGGCTGCAGACTTCTCTGACTGCCAAAACAGCAGTGTTCTGCTTCAAATTTTGCTTATTCTAGGACCTGGGAAGGCTGGACTGCATACGGCTGCTGTCACAAGAAAACAGTCTAGTTGTGTGGGGTAGCAGGTACTACTACGATGGGATGGGATGGGATGGGATGGGATGGGGTAGGATAGGATAGGATAGGATAGGGTAGGAGGCTGCACTCCACCTGTCCCAGGGACAGCCATTGGAGCCCAATTCTGCAGACTCTTCCCTGCCTGCATCACTTTTCTGTTTCTGTTCTTTCTTCCCTCTTCCCAGGGAAGCAGTAGCTCGGACCAGAGCCTCATCTTGCAACATTTAATTTTGCTTACGCTTCTGAGAGCCACTGAAGCAGCTTTGCATTGAGAATTAGTGCATGAAGTTTTGCTCATGAGTGGCCAAGTTCTTGAAACGACAAAGTATTCTTAATTCCTTTCAAAGCCCCTGAAGTAAATAGGATATCTTATCTTCAACCCGTTCTTCCAGAGATACCCATCAGTATACTGGAAGAGTTGAGCTTCAACTGATGTTATGGAAATAGAAAGGGAGGCTACAGGTTTATTTTGTAACACTGCAGAGTATAATATTTGTTACTAATACAGCAGACCAGAAAACAATGCAATCAGTTAATGATTGCACTGATTCCGGCATGAACTGATGTTCACGTTGGAACTAGATGATCTTCAAAGGTCCCTTCCAACCCAAACCATTCTATGATACTTTTATAAAAACTAAGCAGACAACAGCAAATCATCTTGCTGGATTTTCTTGCCTTTCAGTTCTATAGTTGGTGTTTTTATCCTATTGTTGCACTGTGTTTTATTTTTCAGGCACTGAAGGAAGGGCAAACAAGGGAGTCTGCCTGTTAACATTAAACTTTACAAAGCATTGCTGCCTAACTCTGGCACTCCGACCAAAATTTCTAAAAAAGCCAGGGAACCAAATTGAGCTTCCTTCGCTATCCTAAGCAAGCTTTATATATTTCAGTGGGGCGTATGAGATCTGAAGTTAGAATGTGAATCACACCAGGACTTGGTTCTACACGTACAATTTAAAGAGCTCTCATTTAGATCTTCATCAGTGTTAGGCAGAACACATCCTGAATTAACTTACGGTTGCTTTCCCACTACAGTTCATCTGCGTGCTTCCCTCCTCCTTACTTCTCATCTGCATGCTAAATTTCTCTGAATTTACGACTCCACAGAGAATCTGACAAAATATTACTCAGTAAATGAGATTTATTTTTTATGTTTAATTTATTTAGCTTAACTTTGATATTTTCCCTGTTTTGAAGCTCCAAGCCCAATTAAGGTTTGATTTGATTTGTTTATTTAATGCATGTGGTTACCTTAGCTTGGTTCTGAAATGTTTTTTCTCAAAGGGTAAATAACCTTCCATTTACAATGTAATAATAGGTAGCATTAATGTTAACATGCATTTTATCCTCAGTGTAATACTTGAAATAACCGGTTTTCTCATTATATAGTTAAGTCAATTTTGTGCTGTAACTGTTGTTGACAAAATAAAAAGGAAATGTTGGGCAGTTTTTTAAAAGGTTTTGCTGAGAAGGATTCCCTTCCTGGCAGAGTAAGTGCATTTGAATACTGAAACTGAGTTTGCAGGTTTGGATTTTAGTTCTGCTTTTCAGTTTTGTTTCTATGCATCATTTAATCTAAAAGTTACTGACCCTTCTGCATTTTTTTTGGTGGTCTTCACAATGAGGAAATGGCAGATTCAAGAACAGGCGCCTTTGTGACCCTCGAGAGGAAATTCCAGTCGCTATTGCGAAAAATGAGCAATTAACTGTGAAAGGTCTGCAAATAATGCAATTGTAGGTAGAGAACATTGACCTGAATTTACGAATGTACTAATCACATATTTGCCTGTATTAAAATATTCACAGGTACTAATATGTTCTGTATTGTGGGACAGGGAGGGAAAGAAGGAAAGAAGGGAGGGAGGGGGGAAGAAACAAAGGAAGGAAGAAGATTTTAATCCCATCTACATTATAAATGCTATAAAATTTTGGATAAGAA